GGGGGGTATGCTTATACGTTAAGACGTGACCAGTAGGTTGTACCCTTGATCATCCACTCTCAAATGGCCGACTGTGATTCTACTCAGCGCAGACAACTCAGTAGGAAATCCAAAGAGAGTTGTTATTTCGCCTGTGTATGTATACCTACAAGTTATCAGCTCTTGTAAGTTTTCCCAGTGATGGCATGTACGAAGAATTACAGTGTGGTAGCTTTTGATGAGCGAAGGTTATAATATCTTCAATCGACAATCATGTATGTGGCCCTTACTCCATGTACTGTACAGACCAATTAGATGTCATCAAAGGGTTCTATTAAAATGATTAGTAGTGTTGAGAACACTTAGGCTTAAACCCCTGTTTCCATATTTTTTGAGGTTTGGCAAGAAGATGCACTTTTCAGTGTGCCTTTGTATTTTAAAAGTCTTGGGAATGAACAGATAAAACTTGATCATTAATTAATAGACCTGACGGGTGTGTCTTCTTATTGCAAACTTATAAGATCAAACGTACATTAAGAACAAGAGATGCTGAAGCGATGTCGATGGGCAAGTAGTGACCAACAGCAAGTGTCAAATGTTAAAATATGAGACATGTTCCTCAAAGTCTACGCTGTAAGGCGTTTTCACCCCATCTTGTACAAACTCGCAGTTGAGATCTGATCATGCAAGAGTATTTGACTGTAAAATGAACGAGTCGCCTCGTGGATCTTATTGTAGGAGGAGACTTTGGCCTGTCATCTAACGCACGAAACGGGGAGTCAACGCCGTATGCTTCGTTCTTGTCCTGAACACCTCCATAATCCAAGGTGGGATGATTACATATGTATAACCACATTTTACCTAGAAGGCTAGAGTTTGAAAGTTCCACCGCACATAACTTGATCTCGAACGGTGTACATCTCTGGCCTTCCGGTCGTCCTGGATCAGATTGGTTTGTACTCCAAGTTATACTTCGCCCACGCTTCTACATCAATGCATGCGAGTAACCGTTGCAATAGCACGAAACAAACCTGAGCTAGTACGACGTGTATACATTGCAAAATGCTCGTACTCGGTTACGGGCACTCGGCGTATTCCATGGTTCATAAAAAGGAGAATCTAGAACAACAGCTATGTGCAGAGGATAGTGACTACGCGCAAAGTAGTTAGTCTTCCATTTTTCACATGCGGGTATCCTTCACCAGACCAAAGTTGGTGATACCCAAGGTCAAACTTTGTTTTGCGGAGACCAATGTCCAATACTGATGGGTAATGCGGACTTGTGCAACGTACTTGGCTTGAAAGGCTCGACCTCTCTCACCCTGATCCGCGTCGCTTTCACTGAAAGCTAATCCAAAATTCCCTCCCTCAAATGCACGCTTGGTCACTGACCACATGCAGGATATGCAGCGCGCTGCAAGTACAAGTCGTTCATGTCGAATGAAGTGATTACCAAAGTCCACATCTACACGCTTAGACCAGCCAATAGAGGACAAAAGCTAAAAAAGAAAAAAAACACAAAGTGGTACTAAAAAGAATGGAAATCACAACTTCTATAAAAGAATCTGATTGTTTTCATTTAATCCCTGTTCATCTCCCAAATTATTTTAATACCCTCTGTATCTTTTTTTTTCCTCGTTGTTTGATTTCTTCTCTGAGTTACAAGCTCTCCTTCTTTTCTGTTGCTGTTTCCCTCTTGAATACGCTGTCTGTGAGAAAGAGACACACTTCAGTTTCATTATTTTAGTTTCTCAAGTTTTAGTACCGGTTACTTTGGCCTGCTTCTTGTGTACGTCATAATAAGCGTTTGTTTGTCTTTTCTTTTTTGTCCTGGATATCTGCTGAGCCTCTTAAGCAGGGACAACTTGTGGACTCAATTACGTCTCAGGTTTTTTCATCAACGATTTTGATCTTTGTTGTTTGTTGTTTCAGTCCTTCGTTCCATATATCACACATTTGAAGGAATAAAATTGCTGGTCTCTTGGAAGAGTGACTACAATCTCCGATCCACATATCCTTGGTGTTAATATTTGCCTCACCTTCTTTGAACCATTTTACTTGATAACAGGATGGAGTTCATGGTATCCTTTGACTCGTCAAGGACAAGATCTCAACAACCACAGACGGCGGCGCCATCCACGAACACATCCATCCAACAACAGCAGTATCAACAAGCACAGTATCCACAGGATCAATTCCAACAACCACACCTGATTGGCTCTTCAGATACGTCATCAATCCCAAAACAGGAGGGCTTAATTGATACTCAAGCACAGCAACATCATCAGGGCCAACTTGGCCAACAACAGCACCATTTCACAAGTGCTAAGCAGGACAATTTCTACTTTGAAAACAACTCACAGCTCCCTTCGCATCAGCAACAGCAACAACCACAGTTGACTCCATTAGCTATGAAGAACGACTTGTTATCTCAAAGCAGTGGGTTACTTGAGCCAACACCAGGGTACTTGCGGTCGGAGTTCTTTACAGGAAGTAATACGCCGTCACTTTATCCTCCACCATATCAAAGGTCAGCATCTCTTGGTGGACCACAACAACAAGAGTTGGCGAATGAACATTTCCAAAGTCATTCAAAACAAATTATGGTTCCGGATTTGAACGCACCTTCCAATGCGATGTTTCAATTCCCCTTGAATAATTCATCTGGAGCCAATTCTAATCTGCAAAGAAATGACTTTGTATCTGGGTTTTACCCAGTTAATACTGCTGTGCCTCCACTACAGCAGCAGCAGCAGCAACAACAACAGCAACAACAACATCATCATCACCATCATTCTCATCACCCTCACCATCATCCTCATACCCATACCCATCCTCATAATCATCATCATGACAATAACAACAATGATAACAACACTCACATTCCGCAACAGCAACAACAAGAACAACAACAACAGTTTCAACAACATATCAGCCAACCACAACAAGTCGCGCCACAGATGGAGGTTAGTCAAACCATGAGATATCCCGATATGTATCAGCGATCATACTCGTACGATACTCCACTCACAACATCAATGATGGTTCAACCATCGTCATCGACATATAACTACATCCAGCCCATAAATACCACAGGACAAGTTGACCAAAGCGATGAGATGACACGATTACAATCTTACTATAAGAACAACAACATAGTGGAACAGTTCACCAAGGATGACATTGTCGTTCTAAAGTCGTTGTTGCAAAATGGTGAAAAGATGAAATGGAGGTATATCTCTTCAAGGCTGTCCACCTTAACTGGTCGAAGATCAACCTCTGCAACGTGTTGTAAAAAGGCCAAGGAACTCTTCAAGCTGCCAAGTGAGAAAAATAGTGGTACTCTGGGCACAAGCTTACCATATCTTATTCATAACTCTTGGGACGCAATAGTGGATGACAGTTTGGTTGAAGGTTAGACACTACACTGGCGACTCCACCCGCTGCCAAACACAGCCAAACACTGCCACGAACCCCCACATTAAACAACAACTTCTTGTAGATCATATCTCACGTCCTAGTAATGGCTCATCGCACGTCGATATTCTAATAACAGCCTAATGAATCTGACTTAAAGACTCCTTGTAGAATCCAAAGTGTGGTCCAAACTTTTATTCCTTGATTGAAACCACCAATCAGAAAGGGTGCTTCAGCCGTGAAGTTCCAACATACGGCGCGTCTATCACAGTGGCATTCTATGAGGCGCCTATGGCGTATCTGCTGTCTACAAGAGTAGTTGCTTTTATACTGCTCATCTCTATTCACAAACGAGCCTTCTTCGCTGTTATATAGCGGTGGAATCAAGAACCACTACGTCAACGAGATGAGCTTTAAAAAAAAATACAAGGCTTACATCACCAAATCCATTAACCGCCTCCTCCCAATCAACAACAGAACACTGATCGTGCGCACTATGTGCCAATACGATGATAGAGGTTATTGCGGTTATGAGCACGGTGGTGTCGCGAATTCCTTGAAGAAGAAGGAAACAACAATAAACAAAACAAAACAACACAACACAGACGGGAGGAACTTCGTGCTAAGCTGTGAAACAGTATCAAGCGCTTTGATATAAACACAGCGGCGACTAGATAATAATGTCTGAAGGTGACAACGGCAGTGGGGTAAACCCGGGTGCTGAAGATGCTGTGATGAAGAATTCAGAGGTTGAACATCAAGAAGACGAGGCTAATGTTGATGAAGGTGCTTTGGATGACTTGTTGGCTGAAGGAGTGATTGATGGGGATGACTCAATAGTTGAGGCACATATCGCATCTGTTGGCGATGTTTCACCTCCTGGAACAATTGCAACTACTCAAGATGATGAATCTGCCGCACAGAATGAACAGAATGAAACTGCTGGACAGAATGAGCAGATTGGATCCATTAATCCTACTGAACAGACTGAACAAGTTCAATCAGTTAAACCATCTGAAGAGACTATACCGATTGAATCAGCCGGAACTCTGAAAGACAACAACGCAGTTGAACACACCGAAAGTCCTGATACTACAGAATATCGTCAACCTACTGAATCTAATGACCCTGTTGTACCTGTTGAACATGCTGAACCTCATGAGACAACGGAGTCTTTTGAACAAAATAACCCTGAAACTGTTCAATCCCTCAACTCAAAAGATGAAGAACAGATAGATAATGAACAAAGTGAAGTACTTTCTAAGAGTGGAACTGAAAAAGAGTACAGTCATCCTCAGGATACGACAAATGATGAGAAGGATGGAACTGAAGAAGAGGATGATGCAACTGGTGAGCAACCTGAAACATCTGTGAACAAAGGAGAAGAGGAAAACCAAAGGGATGACCAAAGTGTGATTGATAAATCAGAAAAGCAAAAACACTCGAAAAACGCATCAGGAACTAGTCAATCTACGGAGAAATCCAAGTCACCTAATCTTCAAACTTCCATTGCTGAAAATGATGAACCTTCAGAGATTGAAAAGACCTTACCTGATAACACGCCGACTTCTCCAGAGGCAACAATATTCAAGGTTGAAAAGACAGATCTTCAAGAACATACGAAGTATATTCGCACATTCCCAAAGAACTTCTCCCCAGCTTCGGTGAAAGCACCAACTTTCACAGATAACAAGATGCTTACCCCAACAAAAGATGATTATGTGTATACAAAGACTTCAGAAAAGGGTGAAACTAAAGTAACGAAAAATGGACATCTTCTTGGTGGAAGAAGTTATATCTTCTCCACTTTTACCCTCCCTGGACGAGGGAAAAAACTTTATGTGCTAGCAGCTGAGGCTGCTAGAACATTGGGGGTCAGAGATGCATTCATACTATGTGCTCGCTTAAAACAACTTTGCAGACACAGTGCCAATGAGGAAGATAGAAAATTCCTTGAATCTTCTGGTATCCTACCAACAAAAATTCGGAATAGAACGATTGGTCTCGTTTCGGCCAAGTCTCTATTCATGAATTTAGGTGCTCGTGTTGTGCTCAGTGGTAAAAGAATCGTTGATGATTATTGGGAAGATGAAGCTGTGGAACAAGGTTTTACTGAAGAGAGCCAGGTTTTCCCAGTGGATAAGAACTATGGACCAAGAGCATCTCATCACCAAAGAAAAGAATATCCAAAGAA